ATAAAACAGTAATTCTGTTAGAAGCCAAAATCAAGAGATTCTCAGAGCTTATTTGCCAGAGCTGGGTCAAATGGATATCCTTGCTTCAAATGAGGGTAGAAAGTGAGCCTCTTTACCAGGCACACTGACATTTTGAGGCTGTAACGGAAAGGAAAGGAAGAGTAGCTATCAGGTAAACAACTCCATTACTTCCCACATAAAGCATATAATCTTTTAAGTTTATAAAGCATCTTACACAGGATTCAAACACCAGGGCTTCAGGCTAGAAAGTGCCCCCCCCCCAAAAATAGACAGACAGAGATAGATAGATAGATAGATAGATAGATAGATAGATAGATAGATAGATAGATAGATAGATATGGAAGCTATTTGCTTCTTATTCAATTTTCCATCCTAATATTCCTCAAGGTCAACATTTAATGAGGATCTTTGGTCAAAGACTCTATACATCTTCCTATCTCCATGGGACAAAGTAGGTCCTCTAGCATTAAGGAATGGAAAGATTCTTTATGGCCTGCAGTAGTAGATATAGTCATCCTGAGTGAGGAGAAGAAAGAATAAAACACATGGGTTAAATCTCTTGCTACCTGAAAAACGTACGTGTGTGTGTGTGTGTGTGTGTGTGTGTGTGTGTGTTTGCATGCATGCCAGGCATACTGGTCCTGGGGCTTAACTGAAATCAGAACCTGGACACTGTGACTGAGCATATGTGCTCAAAGCTAGTGGTCTACAACATTGATCTACAGTGATATTTGTGGGCTCAGGTAGTTAATTAGAAATAAAGATGAGTCTCATGGACTTTGCTTCCCAGGGCAACTTTGAATAGCCATTCTCAGATCTCAGTCTCCTGAGTAGCAATGATGATAGGCTTGAGTCACTGATGACTACCTTGAAAATATTTTTTTCTAAAACCTTTGTGAGGTTTGAAGTTAGGGATATTACTTTGTCTATTGAAAAACATCTGGAGGAAGCCAAGTGCCTGTGCCTCATACATATAAACTTAGCCACTCAGGAGGCTGAGATGTTATTATCTCTGTTCAAATGCAGCCTGGGCAGGTAAGACTGTGAGACTCTTATCTCCACTTAACTACAAAAAATGGAAACAGGGCTAGGAATGTGGCTTAGTGGTAGAGTGCTTGCCTGACATGCATGAAGCCCTGTATTCGAATCCTTAGTACCATATAAACAGAAAAAGCCAGGAGTAGCACTGTGGTTCAAGTGGTAGAGCACTTGCCTTGAGCACAGAGAGGCTCAAGGACAGTGCCCAGGCTCTGAGTTCAAACTTCCGCCAAAAAAAAAAAAATGGAAACAGAGCTGTGGCTCCAAGTGGTAGAGCACTAGCCTAGAGTACAAAATTCAAGCACAACAGCAAGGCATTGGGTTTAAAAACCAGGGCTGGCACAAAAACAAAACCAAAAAAGATCTGTGTTGGCTCAGGCTTGTAATCCTCACTAGCCAGGAGGCAAACCTTGGAAGAATTGAAGTTTGAAGACAGCAGAGACAAAAAAGAAAATAAAACAACTATCAAGACTGCATCTTAAGGACAAAGGTTGGGTGTAGAAGTACTCATCCCATCTATATGACAGGTCATACATAGATGGATGACAATCTAGGCCACCCCTGAGGACATGGTTGAGGGTTGAGGACATGGGTTATGTAGTAAAACCCAAATGTCACCTAAAATAGCAACATAATGATGAATGTAACTGTGAACGTTATGTGGCTTGTAATTTTTCCAGCAATTATATACACCTAAGAATAAATTACATACATCTAAGAGTCCACAAGAAAAATATTAAAAACCAACTGTTGGGCTGGGAAGGTAGCTCAGTGGTAGAGTGCTTGCCTTGCATGCCTGAGGCCCTGGGTTCGATTCCTCAGCACCACATAAGCAAAAAGAAAAAAGCCGGAGGTGGCGCTGTGGCTCAAGTGGTAGAGCGCTAGCCTTGAGCTGAAGAGCTGAGGGAGAGCGCCCAGGCCCAGAGTTCAGGCCCCACGACCGGACCAAAAAAAAAATTATAAATACTTTTTTAAACATTGGAATCTTCCCCACCCAAGATATGATCTAACATTATTATCTGTGTACGCATATGTGTGTTTGTGTGTGTGTGAATTCTAAAGCTTAAGTCAGAGCCTCAGTGCCGTTGCTGAGCTTTTCTTCTCAACATTAGGGCTCTAGCACATGAATCAGAACTCTACATCCTTCTAATTGTTGGGTAATTAGAAAAAAGTCTCAAGGACATTCAAGGCCACTCTGGCTTTGAACCAGATCCTCAGATCTCAGCTTCTTGAGTTACTAGTAATAAAGCTATGCAACACTGGTACCTGGGTCAGCCTTCCCTTTGTAATGGCTTTGGAAGAAGGAATCTCACAGATTTTTCTGCCTGGGCTGTCTTTGACCCTCAATTCTTCAGGTCTAATCCACCTAGATAGCTAAGATTCTTTTTTATTTTATAGTCTGCACATCTTATACTGGGAGCAGAAGTGCTTATATTCTTGAAAATCAAATAGTACCAGAAAACAGAACAAAACACAACACAACACAACAAAACACCATCCCCCACACAAACCCTATTCCTCTCACCTTAGGAAGAATTCAGAAGTCCACATTTGCACACTGTGTGCCATGGGTGATTCCTTCCTCTCACCTTCCTAATTAGAGTGAGAAACCACACAAAGACAGAAGGACAGGAACACTGGTGCATTAGGGTTTATACTAAGGAGCTAGCACTGAAGCAATAGAAATGCATATTCCTAATCCTTTTAGGTTGCATTACACTTTGAATAAGGTCTCACAATTTTCCCTAGGCAGCCTTGGGCTTATAGTCCAATGAGAGTTAGAACAGCACATTGTGCGTGTGTATCTGTCTGTGTCTGTGTCTCTGCTGGTCCTGAGTAGTGGATTCAGGTATTCTCCCACTCTCACTTGTTTTTCTTCCTCTTGGTGTGTTTGTTCAATCACTTGGGCCAGGCTTCCATGCTATAGCCACTTTTCTCGAGAGGATAAGGCCACGCCATTGCCTCAAACAAACATCAATCCATGGCAACTTTGCTCCCCAAATAGCTAGGATAAGGTGAGTGGGTGACCACATCTACTAAAAATACCATTTGAACACCAGAGGCCCTACTAAAACATGACACTCTGTCACTACATATTCAATAATGACTAGGCACTTCAGTTTTCTTTAAATAGTGCCACCAGACCTCCACAAGCTAGAATCTTCAGTCTTGTTTTAGAGGCTGAAGCATAGTAGAAGAACTGCTTTCCTCATCTCAGAGTTCACTATCTGAAATTTGGTAACAAATAAGACAAAATTAAAAACATCCAGTAGCACCAACAGATGTGGGGCCATACTTTTCTCCTGCTCTGCCTGGAAGCCTCATGCATTAGCAACCTGAAGCCCCAACTGCACCAGCCTGAAGCAGGAGATGTATTTTGCATACTGTCAACATCAGTCAAAACCCAGAAAAGAAAACTGTTCCTCTAAACCAAGGACACCACAGCAGACCAAGGAAGCCACAGTTAGCACTTTCAACCTGTTCTCCAACTTCCACTTATCAGTCCCTTTGTTGCCTGGTGGCACCATCAAGAAACCAACCTGAGAATTGGACACTAGACCCTGCCAAGCTTCAGACATCTAGGCAGCAATTTCATCCACTTCATTACTTCCATTGTTGATCTCCTGAATGGTTAGGGCTTCTAGCTCCCCCAGAAGGCATCAGGAGACAATGCATGAGGAGGCTCACCACCAAAACCCCTAAAATCACCTTCCCTACCCTCACTTGCCACACATCTTGCTGACACTGCATAGGATTTAGAAGTCTGCACTTTTACACAGTTTGCCAGCAATAACTCATGACCCTCCTCCTACCAAGTAGAATGCTGGACCACAAAACAGAACAAGATGAAATGGATTTTGGTTTTGTTTATTGTTTGTTATGAACAAAGGTGGAATTCGGATTTCTCATTTGATAGCACTAAACAAGTAGAGCATTTATGGTTTGGGTAGCATTTCACTAAGTTCTCACGCTTATTTCTCAGCAACACTGGACTTCTATTCTAGGAAGAGGACAATCGGCACACCAGACTACAATGGCTATGTACTGGTCCTAGGATGTTGATTGAGGGATTCATCTGCTCTCGTCTGGCTTTCTTTTCTTTTAGGGGGACAGGGGATAGGGAGGAGTTCATTCTATCAGATGTGCCCTGATGCCAAAACCACAACCAATGTTTGTTTTTTTGTTTATTTTAGCTTAAGACATGGTAAATGTTCCATGTTCTGGCCTCAATGACCCACCAAAAACCACTTTTCATTTGTATTAGCTAAAATAATAAGATCAGGCCACTAAAGCTGCCACAAACATCATTTTAACACCATAGGCCCTGTTTCAACATAATGCCACCCCGGCGCCACAAAATACTCAAGGATAGAAACTTTTGCTTTCTTCTTGAATCTACAGGCAGGTGGGGAATCGTGTTCCCCTTTTCTCAGGGTACATTACGCTGAAATTCAGGAGAGGCACAGTAGCACCAACAGACCTGGCAAATACTTTCCTCCTCCTATGACTCCAACTAAGAGGGTACAGAAATGCCAATTAGACCAGGCAGGAATTACAGTCACTCTGCTCAACTGTTGCCATTAGTGGATACCCAATGAATAATCTAAATTACCTGACCCAGGATCATGGAGCAGAAGAAATAACCACAGTCAGCCCTTAGAACCTGCTCTAAAAGCCAGGCACAGGTGGTTCAACTGTAATCCTAGCTATTCTGGAGGCTGAAATCTGAGAATTGCAATTTGAAGGCAGCCTGGGAAGAAAAAAATCAGTGAGACTCTTTCTTGTCGCCAATTAACCACCAGAAAACTCAGAGTGGAACTGTGGCTCAAAGTGGTAGAGCTTTAGCTTTGAGGCTAAAAGCTCAGGGACAATGCCCTGAGTTCAATACCTAGACAAATAACTTGCTCCCAAAAAGTCACTTGTCCTCTCATATCACCTACCTGACAGCAACATCAAAGGATGATCTGAGGACCAGACCTGTGGATGCAGCAGAGCAGCAAACAGCCAGGTGGCAATGTGGTCCACATCAGTACTGCCAAAGATGATCTCGGAAATCCTTAGGGCCTTTGCACTCCCAGCCAGCAATGTCTGTGGATAATGAAAGGGGAGAATCAGTATCCACCCAATGTCTCTACTCCCCATCCCCGACCCCACGCATCTTCCCTCCTCTCGGGGTGCATTCGCTGAGGTGGCCCATGGTCCCCATGTGGCCTAGGTTCATCCTTTCCTTTCCACTGCCATCTAAGAGAGAGCCGCACCCCAATGGCACCAGCCTGAGGAGCCAGACATATTCTCTCCTACTGTTGGCATCTGAGGATCCCCTGACAGAAACCCCAACAGCCTACCCTGCAGCACAAGAAGGGAGTCACCCTCACCACTGTACCCCGCTCCCAAAGAACCACGTGTCCCCCCTCTTCTCTCCCTGCTGACGTCTACAAAGGACCCACTGAAGAGCAGACCTCTGCAGCCGCCACGCGGCAAACAGCCAGGCGGCAATTTCCTCAGCGCCGGGACTGCCAGTGGACACCACGCCAACCATTAGGATCTCTAGTACCCCCGCTGTCACCTGCATACCATGCCAGCCAGGCTCATGACCCCAGGCACACATGCATCATCGTGACCCTGTGTATGATCTAGATGCCTAGATTGAAGCATACTACCCCAGGACCAACTCCTGCCACTCACTCTACCACGCACAGTGAGGGACCAATCACAGACAGGAGGAAGCAGAGAAATGAGGGGTTGATATGGGGCTGGGAGTTATTCAGGTGTGTACTCACAACCCAGCAGTGCACCAGTGGATACACACCATCAATCCTTTTATGTTTCCTAAAGATATCCATAATGTCTCACAATTACCCCCTGTGCCTCTTTCTGCTTCTCTTTAAGCTAGGTCTGCACCTAAATGCTAAGGCATTCTGTGTGTGTGTTGCACTTGTCTGGTGTCTCCGACGCAGGGATTTGCCGCCTCAGCTTTGGTGTGTTCCTATTAGAGGCAGTTGTTGTCACTTGGCCAACACAACCAGTACACACAAAACCACTGTTTTTGTATAGACTGAGTCCTGACCATATGTTTGCCTGGTTTGCCCCAAACATACCTATTCTATGGCAAAAACTGTTGGCAATACAGTCACCTAAAATACCACCACAATAACACTGTGTCACCACAAATTAGTTCTGGCTAGAGCCTTCTATTCCCATTTGGTGGCTGCAGTCTGGCAGAGGAACTACATTCTTACTATCAGGTTGCATTAGCTAAACAGGGAGGCCCCGTGGCATCAAGCAGTCTTGACTCATATTTTCCTCCCTAACTGGTGGCATTATCTCAAGGCAAGTGGGAACCCCAAATGCACCAGGTAGAAGGTGGAGAGGTATTTTTCACAGCAGCTGTCATCCTGAGATAACCAGAGAAGAATCAAGATTGCCTAAGCCTGCCACTGCAGAAGCCAGTAACCACAGTTGGAACTTGCATTCTACTCCCAAACATGCACTGGTCTTCCCCTTCCTCTCCACCTGGTGGCACCACAAACAGACCCAGGATTGAATCTCTGGATCCTGCCACTGGCATACAGCTAGGAGGTTATTTCCTGCTGCCAACTCAAAACTTGTTAGCAGCTATGACCTCTAGTGTCCAAAGTAGGCATCTGCAGACCATGTAAGTGGCAGTTCAAACCAATCACGATTGCCCTGCCCTATTTTTAGATGCCATAAGATTCAAGTAGTCTACCAGCAGCAATCCCTGCCCCTCATTTTCCCAATTAGGGTGAGGGGCCAGTCAGAGAGAGGAAGACAGAATTAACTGTGGTTTTCTCTTTGGAGGGGTCAGAGATTTATTTAATCTCGTAAAACAACCCTGCATCCACAGCCCAGTCATTTGCATTGAATTTTTAATGAGGTCTCACAATTTTCCCTAGACCATCTGGAGCTTCCATCCTAGCAAGAGGAACACCACCAGACTCAGATGCTTGGTGTGTCTGGGCTCGTTCCAGGACTTGGATTCAGGGATTCGCCCACTCTAGCTTAGATTTCTTGGTTTTCGGGTCATTCTATCCCTTGAGCCATGCCATCAGCACTCATAGCCAATTGTGGGGAGAGACTGAGGCCATGAAAATTTTCACCTGGACACAGGTAAAAGCAAGATTCACCCACATTGGCCTTTGCTCCAAAATTACCTAGGATACCAGGATTGGGCGCCAAAGCTATCAGAAATACCATGTGAACAACATAGCCCCTACTGAATCAAAATGCCACCTGATCACCACATAGGAAGCACTAGAGATTTTGCCTGCCTTTTGGTGTATTTATCCTGGTGCAGGAACCATGCTCCTCTCTGGCGCATTAGCTGAGATCAAGTGGCACCTGCTGGCCTGGGAAATACTTTCCTCCTCAACTAGCTGGCTTCCACATTGAGGAATTAGATGGAACCCTAATTGCACAAGGCATGTGAGACAGGGTTATTCTGATCAACTACCAGCATCATCAGTGGACAGCTACTGAGAAGCCCAGATAGCCTGACCTCAGAAACTCACAGCAGAAGCAGGTGGCTACAGCTGGCACTTTAAACCTGCTCCAAACAACAACTGTCATCCCACTCATCTCTACCTTGTGCCTCATCATGAAAAACCTAAGGAGCAGACTTGTGGGCCATGTGTTGGGACAAAAACTAAGAAGCAATATCCTCTGCCTTAGTAGGGCCAGAAGAGAGCTTCTGTATGTTTTGGACCTATATTACCCCTAGCAGGCATCAGCACTCAATGCAGGTGAAATCTCACACCTTCACTCCACCTTGCCCTGCCCCTATGGAGTCTTTAGTAGCCTGGATTTTCTTTTTTAATTTTTTTTGGGGGTCCGGTCGTGGGGCCTGAACTCAGGGTCTGGGTACTGTCCCTCAGCTCTTCAGCTCAAGGCTAGCACTCTACCACTTGAGCCACAGCGCCACTTCCGGCTTTTTTCTTTTTTCTTATGTGGTGCTGAGGAATCGAACCCAGGGCCTCAAGCATGCAAGGCAAGCACTCTACCACTGAGCCACCTTCCCAGCCCCAGTAGCCTGGATTTTCAAGCAGTTTACAAGCGGTGACACTTGGGCCTACATTCCCAATTAGTTTAGGGACAATTCAGTGACAACAGAGCAGAGAGAAAAACAGTATTTTATAGAGGAGGGGAAAGGAAATTGTTCTGTTTGAATTCCTAAGTCAGCATTGTGCTACTGGAGCTACAGCGCTGTTCATTATAGGTTGAGTTATGTTTTGAATAAAATCTCAGAATTTTCCCTGGATCAATCTGTGCTTCCAATCAGGCACAGTGTAAACCACCACTCTAACATACATTGTGTTTGTGTGTATCTATCCCTGTGTCTGTGTCTGTTTGTCTGTGCATTTGTGGGTGTGGAGATTAAGAGACTTTGATTCAGGGATTCCTGCAATTTTACATTCCTTTCTTGCTTTTGGGGGCTAATTGATCATTTAGTCCATGCCTCCAGTTTGCATTTTTTATTGAGATTAAGGACAAGTCAACTCTCTTCTTGGCTGTGTTCAAATGATGAATCTATGATTTTTTTCTCATTAGCTAAGCTAATGAGAGTGAACCCCATATCTATCAGAAACCATATTCTTACAACACAGGCCCTATTGATGAATACTGGCACCATGTCTTTACAGACTATATAAGGCATCAAGGTCTTAGAGCACCCACCTTTTCTGGCTGCGGCCAGCAGGGAAGCCTTGACGGAGGCCTTGCCTACCCCCTTAGAAATCACTAACTGCAATTGAGGAGGAGTGTTCCAGTTACACAAAGCAACATGGAAATTAATTCCCTTCTCCACTGGTGGCGTCATTCAAGAGTGAGGCTGAACCAGAGTACAGAGGTATTCTCTACCAACTACTCTCATCAATGCATGCCTAGAGAGGAACACAGCCTACCTCGTCCCCCACATCCCATTCCACAGCAGAGTCACATAGGCAGATTTAGCAATTTAACCTGCTCCCAAACAAGTACTTTTCATCTCCCAATCCCTGGAGAAATTTTCACCTGCCCAAACAAGGACAAGACTTCTGAATCTGAACCTGATGCCATCAGCTAGGAGTCAATTTCCTCTGCCAGTGGTACCAGCACAAATTCATGCATGATTAGGACCTCCATCGAATGCAGATGATGCAGATGGGTGTCATGCCTTGGCCCTTATCATCTTGCACATGAAGAGTGCTTAGGAGCCCAGACTATGACAGAATCTGCCAGCATTAACTCATGACCCTCAGGCTCCCAATTAGAGTGAGGGACCAAACATAGGCTGGTGGGCAAAGGGAAATCAGAGGGTCTGTTTTTGTTGGGGGGGGAGAGAGGAGAATTAGCAGGTAGATCTACTGTAAATTGAACTCATATGCCAGTGAAGTACTAGTGGAGTCATATCCCCTTGCTCTCTGGTTTATTTATACTTTCAATAAAGGTTCCCAATATTCCCAAAAGACAGCCTTATGCTTCTCATGGAGCAAGAATTAAAGAACCACACTGAGTATCTGAGTGTGCATGCATGCTTGCTTGCTTGCGTGTGTGTGTGTGTGTGTGTGTGTGTGTGATAGTGAGCTTGGGTGGGTAATGAGACGTCGATTCAGATATTTCTTCACACTCTTGTCTTTCTTGCTTTCAGGGGGTTTTCCATCACTTTCATCATGCCACCAATGTGAACAGGTGCTGTTTCCTTGTTAAGACTGTGGGCATGAAAACTAAGACTGTGGGCTAGTCTCAAAACTAGATCCACCCACACACTCGTTTGTTCCTCCATTAGCTAGCAGAACAGGAATGGGCTACCACAGCCATTAGAAACGCCATTTTAACCACACAAGCCCTAGTGCCACCTGGGTCACCACAGACTACAGACTTTGTCTTTTGGGGGCAGAAAAAAGGTGACCTTGCTCCTCCCATCAGGGAGCAGTCACCTTGCTTCATTTGGGAGGTCCAGGTTCACTGAGCAGCCTGGGGCCATATTTTACTCTTCCTTTGTCTGGCATCATCAACCAAGAGCAGGCTAGCGCTT